CGTTTCTTTCTTTCTTTCTTCCGTGCCGGTTTCCCTGCCCACTTGCACACCCGCATATACGCACAATACATATATATATATATACATATATATATACGCACACATACAAACACACACGCACCGTCGTACTATTAAGTAGTATTGGTGTGGCATTATATATTATTATTACTATATATATATATATATATATATATATAGTCCCACTTTCCCTCTCGGACTGTCTGTCTGTCTGTGTGTGTGTGTGTGTACGTGTATCATTTATAAATAGAGAAGAATACAAAAGAGACCGCCGTGCGTATCAAGTAGTACTTGTATACAAATATATAAGTATTTGTATACATTTGTTGGTTTGTGTGTAGCCCTAAGGAGGAAATATCTACAATAAGGGTTGGGGTTAAGGGCGGCAAGAAAAAGGAAAGAAAAAAAGGCGGTGAAGTAACAATAGAAAAAAGGGTTGCCACCTTTCTCTCTCTCTCTATCTCTGTGTGTGTAGGGGGGGAGTCTTTTCTTCGAGGGTAGAGGAAAACCGCGTTTGGTCGTTTGGTTTCGTCCGTGTGTCGTGTCTGTGAAGCCGCAGAACACGAGGGAAAATAGAAGTCAAATTTTTTTTTTTTTTTTTTTGTACATCATTTCTTTATTGAAAGAGCGGCAGCGGCGGTGAGAGAAGAAGAAATAATAAAAAAAGAAAAAAACAACAACAAGAGAGAGAGATTTTAAATAAAAAAAAAAAAAAAATAAAAAAAAATAAAAAAAAAAAAATAAAAAAAAATAGAAAAACAACAGCAAGAAGAAGAAGAAGAAGAAGAAGAAGAAGAAGAAGAAGAAGAAGAAGAAGAAGAGGGAGTGTGAGAGGTTTGCGTTGGCATCACACACAGCAACCAAAAAAAAAAAAAAAAAAAGGAAAAAAAAAAAAAAATAAAACAAAAGGAAAAAAACAAGAGGAAAAGAGAGAGTGAGTGAGTGAAGCACACGAGGGGAGAGGTGAGAAAACAACACATTTACAGTCATACCCGTAGAGTAAATAAATACACACCCGCGCGGATACATAAAAATATATAATCACTCGCACGATTGCAGTTGCGGTGGTTATCATACGTGCGTTGGGGTCTTTTGGGGGTTTTCTGCCCTTTCTTTTTTTTTTTTTTTTGTGTGTGTGTTTGTGTTTGTGTACGTCCTTGCGCGTGCGGCACACACCACCACACACTCAACGGGGTCTGTGTGTATTTTCTTTGGACTTCCCCCATCTTTGTGCGGGGGCCGCGGGTCTGTAGAAGAAGGGAGGAAAACAGGAGAGATAGAGAAAGAGATTGAGTGCGTGTATTTTGCCCGCAGCGTAGAAAAGAAAAGAAGGCGGCAAGCAGCAGCAGCAGCAGCGGCAGCAAGGGGGGGGAGAGGAGAGTAAACGTGAGCTCCGCAAAGACACCGCTATCACAATCTTTGTAGGAATAGTAGGAGCCAACTTGTTTTTTTTTTCCTTTTCACTTTCCTTTCCTTGTGAAAAACAAAAACAAAAACAAACAAAAAATAAATAAATACCGACACATCGTCAGCAGAGCACCAGAAGCGGCGCACTTTTTTCTTTTTTTTCTTTTTGATAAAAAATATTTTTTTTTTTTTTCTTTTTTGACGCCTGAGTTCCGAGAGGCTTGGAGCATTTGTGTGGATTTTTGTGGGGGACTTCAGACTTTTTTTTTGGCGTTTGAACATATCAGCAACTGCGGAGCGCCCGGCACGTCTTTCTGCGCGAGAGGGAAAGAGGATACGCATACACCCAAATAATTGAGAGGCGATTGGCTTGCAAACACGCATCCTCCTTTGCTTATTTTGCAGGCGAACATTGACGGCACGACGAAGAACAGGCGAGAGAGAGAGAGAGAGAGAGGACACAAGGCGCATTTCTGCAACACCAGCCGTCGATATCTCGTTAGAGGGACTGTGAAAATTTCGCCTACAAGGGAAAGTTGGCAGTTGGTGGCTTCTTTATTTGTAATATAATTTTCTTTTTTATCTGCTGTTGTTTTTCGTCTTGATTATTGATTTGTCGTGCGATGAAAGAAGCCGGAGGTTTTTTTACCGTCAGCTGCACAGATCGCGGGGGTGTTGGGTCATCGCAGGCCTCATCGTCCGTTGGCAAAGCAGACAACAGCCCCAAGTCCGGTCAATTCTCCACGCCAACTGACAGCAGTAAGGGCTCGGAAAAGCAAATGCATCCCGGCTCCGTGCTGCCAGCAGCGGGTACGAGTGGTGGTGTGTTTCTTGCGGAAAAGAACACGGGGTTCTCTGTTGTGGCGGGTAACGTTCCACCGAGTAATTGGCAGACGGGGAGCAACGCCTACTGGCCACAATCCAGTGGGAAATCAACGTTGTTTAAATCTACACTGAATCCGGACGCTAAGGAATTCCAGTTGCCGTCTGGTCAAGGGAATGATGCATTGGCTTTGACACATGCGTCCATGTTGAATCCATCGCTGACGCACGATGTTAAATCCTCGACGTTTATGCCGCTCTTCGCAATGCCATCAACAACAACGCCATGGAAAACGGGCAGTGCTGTCAGCTCAGAAGCGATCTTTGTTTCCGGAATTCGGGCGGATGCAATGAAGTGGCCACAGGTGTCCGTGCATACTAGGCCTTTTGCATCACGAGACGCCGCCGGCCCACCGCCATCTCTACTGACGCCACGCACGATTACACGACAAGTCATGGAAGAGTATGCTGAGGTTTGCCGCAGCAAAGGGTACCACATTGTGACTGTCTTCAACCTGGAACCACGCACCACACAAGAGGAGTTACTGGCCATCTTTTTTCCAATGTGCGCCCAGAGTGCAGAGTTGCTACCAATACATTGTTCACCGCGGAGCAATCGTCGTTCTGGAGTGGTGTTTTTTCTTTCCAAGGCCATTGCACTGATGGCCGTGGAAAAGTTGGACGGTTTTGTTCCAAATAAACAGCACCAACCACTCACAGTGTTGTATTCCGGTCCGGACACATCGGAAGCCGGAACACGAGAATCATCGATTCTTTCTGCGAACTCACCCCAATCTGTGAAATCCGCCAACCAGCAGGCTCAACTTTTGCCGCAACCGGCGCCAGAGACAGTGACATCCGGTTCACCACAAATGTGGCGTCATCCCGCCGCTGTGCAAATGGATCAATTACACAAAGAAATGTGGCATTTTGTGAAGAGCACGGCGTCTTCTTCCTCTTCAGGGGTAATGAAGCATGTTGTGGCTGTCCATGGTCTGACTCCGGAGAATGCGCAGAGTGTATTACTATGGAATTTTATTAATAAAGGTGCGGAGCGGTATGAGTTATGGCCGATGAATGATTCTGGCCTTTCCTCCGCTACAATGCCATTCAAAGGTATCAGTGCTTTGGTTTGGTTTGCACAAGAGGCAGCAGCGAAGGACGTGGTGGCGTGGTTTGAACAACAACGTCGAGAGGGAGGTCAAGCACTGCAGATTGATGCCGTATACCTTAATAAACTGGATTTTGCCCATGAGAACTTTTTGGTTGGCAATGCTCAGTTACGCAATGGCGTCCATGATGCCAACAATAACGGTCAGTTGACTGCTGTGGCTTCACCTTCTCATATGGCGATCATTGAAAATATTGATGCATTCTTTTTTCGTGAGTATGACGACCCCAAGCTGTACCTTGTTGCCGTTCACAATCTCTCACCAAACACGGACAAGAAGGCGCTGTTTAGCCTTTTTTCCCCTCATGGGGCTCTTGATGCGGAAGTGTATCCCGGCATTGTTGAGTTTGCGGGTGAGCTTCGTCGTAGTGGTGTGGCGTTCTTTGACAATGAATTTATGGCCCGTAAGGCCGCGGAAAAGCTGAACAGCTTTGTTCCTTTTAAGCAGCCGAATCCGCTTGTAGCGCGCTACCTGAAAAAAGTTTGGAACTCACGCAAGATGACGCCCTTGGGCTGTGCCTCGTCGTCCTCTGGAATGGCTGAGAGTGTGGCCGTTGCAGCTTCCGGCACAAAATTAAACGATATGGTTGTGTCTGTGAAGAAGATGTTGTACGCCCCTCTCTTGGATGGGGAGAGGCTGATGGAGAAGATGCTGCTGGTGATTACTCATCCAGATACCACAAGGGAGGTGGTTGAGCAACTCGCCTCTGTCATTGTCGAGGCGCTGACTGCAATGTCGCACCATGCTGGAGCACTCTCTACACCATTGGTGAATGCACTGATGTCACTGCATGAGAAGTTAAATATTCCCCATAATGTTGTGAAGGATTCGAATGTGAATGAAGCCGTTAACAACTCTGAGCTCAAGAAGTACATGGCTTACATGCAATTGATAG